AAAATAAAAAAAAACTGAAACTGAAAAAAAGGAGATTTAAAACTGAAAAATATTTTTGAACCTGGAAAAAAAAACATTTGAAACTGAAAAACAATATATTAGAATCTGGAAAAATTTCAAACATCTTGTCTTTTCAGTTTCAACTCTTTTTTTTCAGTTTCAAATTGTTATTTTTCAGTTTCAATTTTTTTTTATTTTGAACAAAACTTATGACCCCAATTTAGCTCCATATATTAGCCCCCTCTGAAATGGTTTGAAATCCCCCTGAAGACGTCTTACCTGCTAAAAACATCTGCTGCCTCATCTACCTGCATTTTCCTCTCTTTAGTAATAAAGCTTTTTTTTTGTTTTTGGACTCTTTGCACAGGGTCATGGTGACCAGTGTATTAGCTGACAGACACCCRGGCGAGCTGCATATCTTCAGGAACTACAACCCACCAGACATTCCCAGGGAACCTGTTTACGCCACCACTGCCACCTTTCAGCCTCTCACCATCCCACAAGGTACCTGAAACCCTGCCCCAGTCTTATTGGTGCAGCGCACAGATGCTACCACTAGATGGCACCATTGTTAGCAGTTCTCCCACAGTTAATGGCTTCAACAGTGATCTCAACACAAAACCAGCGCTTCTTTTCTCAGTTCCTTTTGCCAGACAAGCAAGAATTTTTTTTCACACAGAGCGTTTTTTGTGACRACACGTTCATGAGAAAGTTGTTGTGAGCGGTTTGAGTGTCAGTCCTGTTGTTGTTGCAGGATGGGAGGATGAGGATGTGTTGATAGTAGGATACACAGAAGAGCCGCCCAGAAAGCGTAGGAAGGTGACAGATGAAGGTGTGTGGATGCAGGTGAAAGACTTAAAGTCATCACATCTCCTGCAGTAAAGACCATAAAAAGACATCCTTAATATTTTCACCTAAAAGTGGTAACAGTGAAGCTGTTCAGTGGTTTTCATAAATGAAAGTAAATTAATCAGAAATCTTTAAAAACACTGATTGCAGGTACCTGCTGCAACATACAGCTTTATTTACACCTGGTGATATGTTTCTGTTTTAGCAAAACTTACAAAATAAAATGTTTTGTTCTGTGATTTTAACAACCTGCTTCAGATCATTCAGCTAAATTGACGACAACTTGTGAAAATGTATTTTTCAAATACTTTTGTACACCAGTGTGGCCTAAAATGCAGTAAAACAGCTTCACAGCCCTCGCAAAAATAACAAGCTAGTCTTTAATAGTTGCAGAATCACAACCCCAAAGAACCCACCTGGTTAGCAGTTTGTCACATCTAGGCTGCTGTGGTAACAACAGAGGAGGTGACGAGGGGCACTTGTTTCATGTACTGACATGAGGTTATTATTATTATTATTATTGTTGTTGTTGTTGTTGTTGTTGTTGTTGTTGTTGTTGTTATTATTAATTTTATTAATTTAATTTAATTTTTTTGCTGCACTAAGCCTCCTGTCTTCACACTAAAAGTCTCAGATTTTTGTCTTATTGTGATCTTTTTTTTCTTTAAGAACAACTTATATGGAGAGCTGCTCGCTCCAGTGGYGCTGCTCCCACATATTTCCGTCCAATGGGACGCTTTCTGGATGGTGGGCTGCTGGCTAATAACCCCACACTGGACGCTATTACAGAAATCCATCAATACAACAAGGCCTTAAAAGCTAAGGTACACTATTTCATAACTTATTAGGCACTTTTTTTTTTTACAGAAACTGTTTTTATTCTTCACTTGGTAGTATTTGTAAAATTTCAACCCTAGTGAATACATGCTGTGTAATCTGTCTCTCTCAGGGTGACCAGCAGAACATTAAGAAGCTGGGTGTAGTTGTATCTCTTGGGACAGGTAGGTCTCCTACTTTTCTCCAAACTGTAAAGAGTGCACATGAAGATCAGTTAGTGAAAGTGAAATTATTAAAAAGACAAGATAAAATAAGATAAGATAAGATAAGATAAGATAGAGCTTTATTGTCATTATACAGAGCACTATGAAATTACAGCTCAGAACACCCATTCACAAGAAGACAGAACATTATAAATCTGTCCATAGGCAGTTTAGGATTTCTAACAACTATGTTTTGATTACAAAAACATAACTRTTGCCTCTGTAACAGTTTGATTGTCCTTTCAACAGTTGGCACTAGTCCAGGGGTGTTAAACTCATTTTCACCGAGGGCCACATGAGCGTTATGGTGGCCCTCGAAGAGCCAGTTGTAATGAACTTTGACTAAACAGTGTTTTAACACGTCGTCTTTTAAACACCGATAAGAACTAAGTGTACGACTGACTAAATCTGAAACAAATACAGAAATATTATTAAAAGAAAAACTAATAAAGTTTTACTCACTGAGTTTCTAGTGAGCAGCTATGGCAGATTTAGTTTATGGTTGATGCTGACTTTACAGCTGCTTNAACACAGTGCAGCCACACAACATCAATGTCAATTTCATGAACTTGTGGCGACACATCCTGTTTTGGTAACCAGTTATTTCAAAATAAAAGTCTGATTTAATTCAGTTCCTATACAAAACAATCTTTTGCGTGGGAACGCAAAAACAATTTTGCGAGGTAATGCAAAAGTATTACGAGGTAATGCAATACTATTGCGTGGGAACGCAAAAGTAAAAAAAATCTCCCCATGTCCCCTCGCGGCCTCTGTAAGAAACAATTTTCATGTTAAGTTAAAAAAAATTTTTTTTGGTCTGTACTGTAAATATATTATTCCCCCCACATATAAGTCATAACTATTGTGTCATCTTAAGATTTCTCCACTTCTTATGACAGATTTCACAGTTTTTTTGTTTTCTTCATAATATTGTGTGTTTTCAGGTAAACCTCCCCAGGAGGTGGTGAGCTCTGTGGATGTTTTCCGGCCCTCCAACCCTCTGGAGCTTGCTAAAACCTTTGTTGGAGCGAAGGAGCTGGGCAAAATGCTGGTGGACTGTGTGAGTGCACGACTTTGTGTCTGAAGCCAGGATTTGTTTGATTCTGTCAGCGATCTTAKTCCTCCTGTCAGAGTTGTTATTCTCACTTTTTGTGTCCTTTTAAGACCATTCAAACAAGTGTTTTTGTCTTTCTGAATGGACAGTGTACAGACTCTGATGGCTGTGTAGTGGACCGGGCCAGAGCCTGGTGTGAAATGGTCGACACCATCTACCACAGGTCAGATGTTCTTCTTTTCTCTTACCTTTCTTTATGGCTTTAGTTGGCAAAACAGTTGAGAAATATCTGCTGCTAAATACATCTGTTTACCAAAAAAACTAATAAATATCTGTAACTCATTCCTAAAAGTGTTTAAACTGCTTAAGGGGGACCACTTGAAGTGTTAATTTTTAAAAGTAACATAAATTTAAAAAACGTTACTGCTTCTTTATKTAAGATCTATTTTGCAAAACCAGGGAAATTAATTATTTTCTGATGTAATAAATAAGACACCACTTGGCAGATATACACTAAAACCCAGCAGCTAAAAATGAAAATGTGTTTTCCACATTAAACAAGCTATGTAGGTCAACTTCATGGAATTTATTCCAAACAAATCCAAGCCTGTAGTCAGATTTTTAATCTTCTGTAGGACGTKATCATGTGTTTTTGTGCAGACTGAGTCCACAGCTGTCTCAGGAGGTGATGCTGGACGAGGTGAGCGATGCGGTCCTCATCAACATGCTGTGGGAAACTCAGATGTACCTGTTCGAGAAGAGGGACGTCCTCCAGTCTCTGGCTGATTACTTACTGCACAAGTGACAGGAAGAGGAAATCACAACAAAGAAATGAGCCATGTGGTTGCTTCACTATACATGTTGGTGGATTCTATAAAAAAGAAGTAAAGTGACTTTGATATTTCAGCTGAAATGTGTTTTCAGATAACATGGCAGACACTGACATCTAATCCAGGGTTTATACTGACCGACTTATTGAAACAGTAATTCTGATGTAACATTATCACTTCTGTGCTTATCAGGTTTACTTTTTATGAACTGAAACAAACAAGCACACCCACTGTGACAGCTTCAAATCTCATACGAAACCACAAAAATATCTGACCTCTGCCTATCGAAGGGACTCTGTAATACCTCCAGAGCAATAATAACTCTGTTTGTGAACCATTTTCTTACTACTTTCCACTATGACCATGATTTTATACCTTTATAAGTTATTTATACTGATCTTTGACACATTTAACTTCCTCCTCACAAGTAAATACTCATAATTTATGTGTTGAACTTCACACRTTTTCAGTCTTAAGCTCAGAGTTATGAGAAAACTTGACCATAATGTGAAAGAACAAGAAANATTTGTTGTAAATGTTTTATTAAACATAAAACAGTTTAAATATGTCATACACAGTGGCTACTGCAGCTCACAGATTATTCACTGAAGTGATTTTGAAATTGTGAAGCTGTGGTCAGGTTGCAAAACTTTGCATTTCAAAACTGTCTATATAAGCTAATTGCACAACATTTACTCACACACACAAAAATCAAAACTTATGTTCAACTTTGTATGTCAATTTAGAATTTTCTGTAGGATGTTATCATGCTTTTTACTTGTGTTTGTCCACAGCTGTCTCAGGAGGTGAGCGATGCGGTCCTCATCAACATGCTGTGGGAAACTCAGATGTACCTGTTCAAGAAGAGGGACGTCCTCAAGTCTCTGGCTGATTTCTTACTGCACAACTAACAACAAGATCTGTGTGTGGTCACTGCAGTGTACAGCTGTCTGCAGYATTTTCATTGTAGGCTCTGTATGGGTTCCTATGTGCATTATGCAGTACACTGCCCACTACTGGCCGATTATAAAGGTGACATCATGTAAAATTTGTTTCTTTAGTCATTAAATACATTTTGTTGTATACTTGGGAGTCTATAAGTCTACCTCTAGTCTWGTCTCGACCTAATTTCCCTCTGGGATCAATAAAGTACTTTTGAATCAGGACTGCATAAAAGCATCAAAATGAGTTGATCTGAGACACAAATTTTATTTAGTTTTTATTTAAATTTACAAATTAATTAAATGATGTCAACAACAGAAGCCTTGGCCATCCAGCCTTACATGTTGAAGCCGGAGTCTGACCCAGAACCAGAGGAGAATGAAGATGACTAAATTGTATTTGGTAAGTCCAGACCTGATTTGTCAGTTCAGGCGTTAGAAAACATCAAATAAAAAATAGAAAACTAATTGAGCTGAAAAATATGACCCATAAAGAACATAAAGGCATATTTGCAGCACTGTAAGAGAATAAACTCAACTTTTCTGCACTCCCAGAGACTCCAAAATGTATTTAATGGCAAACAATTAGATTTTGCATGATATGTTCCCTTTAAAACACAGATCAGCTTCTAAAGCACATCCTGAGATCTGGTTTGACCCTGGAGAACACTGCAAACAACAGGTGCAACAATCCAGACTGCACATGAAAACCCAAATACAGCAGCAGGCCAGGCAGTGTGTTGTGGCTTTGTGCCCTGCATGCATTGCACATTTTCATTCAAGACAAACTCACAGCTTTAATAAGTCTGAAATTTAAGAGACTACGRTGCTGAGTTATAAACCTCAGAATGTTTGAAGTCCTGTGCAGTATTGTYATTTTTGTAAAATAATAAAGAAATCTTCACTAAAATATTATAAGCTTGAATTAGACTAAAATGGATGAAACAATATTGTATATTAGAAAWAGATTTTAGTTGCATGAAAAGTTTGTCTTTTCATGCAACTAAGTTAAGCAGTGTCAACATACCTCAAAACATATTTACATCATAGCATACAGTCTTTCATTGGTAAAAAATCTCAAAATGTATGCTGTCCGCATGAATACATTTTCTTGAACATATTTTTATTTTTTGTACAATTTTTTCCACCTTTTTTATAGGCCCAAAGAAAAATAAAAATACTTATAATAAAAAGATGGCTAAAGAAAATAATTCATACATAAAACAGTTCATGTTCATGTCTTTAAAAAAGAAGTGAATTTCCTTTTATATTTCAGCTTAAATACAGTATGTCTTTAGATGCAGATGTTTGAAACATGGCAGCTAAACCAGGCTTTATGCTAACTCATTTATTGAACTGATAATTATGTAGCATCATGTGACTTTGTCACTTCTGTTTTTAGCAGGTTTACTCTTTTTATTTAAACCAGAGAAGAAGAGTTGGAAAAGTCCTCCCAACACTTACTGTCAGTAAAACAAGAACTGATGAAAGGAAGTGGTCTCAGCAGAAACAAACAAGCATACCCACTTTTAAGCAGTTGTTCACATAAACTCAAATAAAAACACAAAAAATAGCCATGTTTTGCCCATTTTGATCAAAGGAACTCTGTAACACACCCAGAAAAATAAAACTAACTATGTGTGCAATTTTCTCACTACTTTCAACTTGTAACTTTTCACCATGGTTTTAAACCTTTCAAAGTTATTCTTCCTGATCTTTGACACATTTCACTTCACCCCTGGCACGTAACTTTCACACTTCACGTAATCAACTTCACACTTTGCTTCAAAATGTTTCCTGTTATGAGTCCACAGACTGAAGTGAAAACTTTGCCCCAGAACAAGAAACTGAAGACCCCCTGCTGCTTGCAAGGCAAGAACAGGATGTATGAAAGCAAAACTGCATTGTTAGTTTGCATTAAAAAGCTTAAAATGTCATGTTTCACTGTTACAATATAGGTGAATTAAAAKAAAATTAAACATCATTAGTAGATAATCTATGTGTGGACACTGACCCTAAAATATGACCTGATTTGAAACAATACATGTATTTTGGTAAAAAGACAACCGTCTGTAGCTCTGATTATAATACTGTCAGATGTTGTGGAAGGTTTGGACCAAGGAATGCAGATGACGAGCTTAAATAAAAATAATAATTCAGCTTTATTTAAACAAAACAAAGACTGAACTCAGGGAGACATTAGAATGCATGAAGAGGTTCAAATAACATCACAGAAACTGGACTTGGTGAAAACATCATATTCCACGAAGGAACTGAGGACTGGTCGAGGAGCTATAAGCTGAGGCTAAACAATTATAAGGAGACAGAGAACAGGTGTGAGTGGGCGTGGAGCTGAAGTGAGGGCAAGTACAGGAAAAACTCAACCGATGCACATGAAAACTCAGACAGAAACCCAACAAATGAACATCGGTAAAGCTACTAAAACACACAGAAACTGACCCAAAGCTCCTAAATGTAAAAAACTGTTTCTCATTTCTACAATAAATACTTTATTGTTTTGACCTTTAAAGGCGAAATACCTCAATTTTTGCTCTCTTTAACTGTAAACAATAATACCTGTGACTAAAGCTGAAAAACTGTTTTATATTGTTCCACTTACAGGATTCTTCTCTTCACACAGGAGTTGTCTCAGTTCTAGTTTTGACTTCGGCGTAGAAGATCTGCTCTTGTTCTTGTTCCTGATGAGGTTCAAAACTTGAATAGAGACTATTTGTTTTTACAAAAAAAACCTGGCCGTAATGAAGTTCTTCCTCTGCTGTTTC